CGAAAAAAAGGTGTGCGGGGAGAAAAAAAATGATCGAATGATGACAGAATGATGACCGAGTGATGATCGAATGGTTCGTGCTGCACGACGCAGTGTTCCCAAAAAAAATGACCGAGCGATGATCGAATGACGACCAAACGATGATTGAATCATTATCAATTGTTGATCAAATGGTGGCCGATCGGTGACCGAATGATGATCGAATGATGATCGAAGGATGAGCGAATGATGAGCGATCGATGAGGGAATGATGATCGAATGATCGAATGATTGTAGCCGTAAAGCTGGTGATGACACTGACGACGGTGATCATGATTGATGGTGACGACTAATGCTCATGGCAACAATGATGGTGATGATGATGATGATGACGACGATGCTGATGTTGATGACAACGCTCCTAAGGAAGATGGTAATGAAAAAGGCTAAGATAAACACGCAAAACATAATGAAAATGGCAAACGTGAACCTGCCCTCAAACTTTGGCTGCAAAGCATTGAGCCCGGGCCAGAGGGGTTGTAGCAGGGGGCACGATCCAACGGCACAAATTCAGCACCGCAGGAATGGATAAGAATGGGTCAAAGCAAGTTGTGGTCTGATCAGGTTCTGCTGTAATCAAACTGTGCTGAGTAAGCGGGCGTGGCTGGGCTGGGGTTTCGGCTGGTCCTGGGCTAGCTAAGGCTTAGCCAAGAGCCCCGCCATGCAATCAAAATTAGTCAGGTCAGGTCCGTGATTTTTCCAATCACAACGGAACTAAATTTGTGTATCTTTGCGGCGTTTTTCTGATTTTTTGCCCTCTCTGATTGTAGTTTTGCGTCGAATGTCACCCGATGTTTTTTCCCTGGCGTTTGCTTAACCTTTTTCTGTTTTGTTGGTCCTCCTTGATCGCGGTTGCGCATCAAAAATTTCACTGGATTTGCATTTTTGTGGTGGTTTTTTTTGATGTATTGTTTTTCTCCGTTTCTGATGCGTAAAAAACGTTGCACAACTGCACCCTCAAAACACTCCGACCAAGATGGTGCTCCGAGAAGCGGCCGTAAAGAAGATGCCGGCTCAAGAGCTACGCCTGGAAGGATCAGCCAGCGGATTCCGTTCTCCAACACGGAACCGCTGGGCGCTGTGATTGCGTGTTCCGCGCCTCCAGTCGCGCCTCCGCTGCGCCTATAGAAACTCCTACAAAACGTAACGTTTTGAAGATATTAAATTATACGTATCATGTTGCGTGCGAAGTGTGCCGCATAGAGTGCGCGAGTCTTGTTGCTACAGCGTGTGGTTGGTTCGGTGGTTTCGCCTCACGGATTGTCCAATGTAATGCGACGAGGAGCAAAAAGTTGGTAAGTATGGTCTCAGTCTCAGCATTAATTTAGCACATGCATTCGGCTTCGTGGATTCTTGCGAGTTGTTTTTGAATCACAGTTGTTCTTGTATAAACCAGTTTCTTCTCGAGAAGGTAAAGCGCGTGGTGCTGCAGGGGCACCTGGTTGCGTCTGTGTTTCGCTACGTGTGACCCGGCCCACCTCCGGATTTCAACGCGTTAGCCTTTGATCTTCGAAGTTTCACACAGGTGTGCCGAATGCCCCATCTATGTGCTCCACCACAATGGAACAATATTGACACATTTTGGGTTCCGACACAACCACAATCCAGATCGTAAGAAAACGCCAGCAAATCGCTGCAACGTAGAAAGGAATGGATGCTAACAAAGTGTTCGTGCGAGAGAAGTAGATGCCAATTCCCTCAAAAAAAACTTGCAGCCTCGATGTTTAATTACTAAGATTTTGCTTGAGCGATCCATGTCCCGTTCTTCAACGTTTATGCCTTGAGGCTGTGCAGGCACTGGGTTTCAACGACTTGTTGCATCCCAGTTTATTTTTGCAGGCCAGGTCTTTCCTCATCGGTTTCCTGTTGATCATCTCCATTGAAATTTTCCCCGTCTAACGTTTCATGATGTTTTTTACTGCCATCCGGGAAATCCATCGCCGCCTCGGCACCACGAGTATTAATTGCCTCTTCGTAGAGCATCACAAATTAATGTTTTCGATGGGATAATTTTGCCCGAAAACCATTCGCCCATTCCACATACGACGACGTGGGGCCAAACACAAAAGTTGCGCCGGATGGCACGATTGGCCGACAAGATTCCAGGCATCGACAACTTGGAACGCGATGCGAACTGTTTGGCAGTCATGCCTGCCAAAACGTGAGCTAGGTTCGACTGTGTTCTTGTAGTCAAGCGCGACAGTTTCATCATTATCGACGGAAGCGGAAGGTTTGCGACGCAACATACCGAAACGCAAACACCAGTGTCAACAAACACTTGTTTTTTTGTTTTAAGTGTTTACTTGACCTACTCGCACAATACGTTTCGCATCGTTGACGTGACGTATTCTTGTCTTGGCGGGGTTACCCACTTGCGACACTGAAAGGCCGCCGAAGTACCCGGTACTTGACGTGACATCATTTTGGACCGCCTTGTTTGGGTGAGGAAACGGTGGTATCACCAAAAAAACAAAAAAAATGGCAAGCACGTCAGCCACTTTACATCCCCAAACATTGTCCCAACGCTTTTGTTGTTGAATTCTCAATTTGTTTTGTCCTCCCTACGAAAAACCGGAGTTGTAACCTTGCTAAAAACGGAACCTTAACCTTGCTTTGAAAATGTACTGTGTCTGCGGGACGTATTTTCATATATTGATGCTCCCATTTTCAGACATGTTCCTTTTTGTGCATTTGTTCCTAACGATAATTTTTGATCAAAAATAATGAGCGCAGTTTTTTGTTTAGCATTTGTTTTTGGTCTAGGGCGTAGGGCAATTTTCCTTCCGATTTCCTACATGAAAAATTTAAAATTTGTATATAATTTGTTGAATTTTGGATCTAAAAGATTCTTATTTGCACTGTCCATCGAATTTTCACTGGTTCCAATCCATTTTTCCGTGGTTTTGATCGAGTTTTCCATTGTTTTACTCGGTTTTCCATGATTTTAACCGATTGTTCCATGGTTTCTATCCGTTTTTCCATGGTTTTCATCGATTTTTCCATGGTTTCCAAACAACAGGTAGTCAGATAGACAAAGAGGCAGATAGACAGATAGACAGATAGATAGGGGGTGGTCAGGAGGTTCTGCCAAGGTCAAGGCCAAACGTCGGGAGCTTCAGATGAAGTGCTGACATGTTGCAGTTGTTTGTAGGATGTTTCATTTTGAAAGCAGTCGCCTCCTTCAGCATGTTTTTGATGAACATGAACCCAATACCGTTGAAACAGACGTTTTGTTTAAGACAAACGTTGAAACAAACGATGAAACGACAGACAGTGAAGATGATTTCATGTCATGTTTTGCATCTGAAACGACAGACAGTGAAGAGGATTTCATGTCATGTTGTGATTTTTCAGAGTTTTGTCAAGAAGATCATGGCACATCTGGACACATGGATTGGGAATACAGATGGATACATACATGGATAGATAAACGGATGGATGGATGGATTCAAAACTAGATAGCTAAGTAGATAGATAGATAAGACAGATAGATAAGATAGATAGATAGATAGATAGATAGATAGATAGATAGATAGATAGATAAGATAGATAGATAGATAGATAGATAGATAAATAGATAGATAGATAGATAGATAGAGAGATAGATAGAGAGATAGATAGAGAGATAGATAGAGAGATAGATAGAGAGATAGATAGAGAGATAGATAGAGAGATAGATAGAGAGATAGATAGAGATAGATAGAGATTGATAGAGATAGATAGAGATAGATAGAGATAGATAGAGATAGATAGAGATAGATAGAGATAGATAGATAGAGATAGATAGAGATAGCTAGAGATAGCTAGAGATAGCTAGAGATAGAAAGAGATAGATAGAGATAGATAGATAGAGTAGGTAGGTAGGTAGATAGATAGACAGACAGATAGATAGATTGATTGATTGATAGATAGATAGATAGATAGTGACCTACAGCCTGTGCCTGCCGCTTGCAAAAGAGCACTGAGGGACTGCTTGAGTTGCGTAGGGAGGTCAAAGCTAACCCATGAGAAGACTCGAAGAAGACCTTCGCATCTCACGCCATGGGGTATTACCTCAGGATGCAGGATCTGTAGCTGGTCAATGTGATGCCGACCAACATCTAGCGGTGCAAAGAGTAAATGTCCATATGCGTGCCTGCACGGCTTTTCTGAAAGCCAAAATGCGGCCTTTAGCTCGCGAAGTGAAACACTCTAATTTCCTCAAGGTAAATGCCACATGCTCATGAGTGCTACTGAATGCAAATGTTTGGCACTCCTCCTTTACATTGTGAGCATTGATCAGGATGTAACCTAAATTCAAAAGACATGTTGGATGTCCAAGCTTAAGGATCCAACTCGTGCATACACTCTATGGATGTCGCACTGTTGTGCACACCATTCGGCCAACCTATTATAGCCGTCGCCAATGGCCTTTGCCTGGCGTTTTCCATATTCATAGATCTTCATGTAGGCACTCAGCTGTGCTCGATCCTGAGAGCTTGTCCAATCTGTAGCGGGCCACTCTAAGTATTCCTCCGTCATGAATTGGCTCGCGATTGTGTCGTTTGTGCCACTGTGGAAAGACTGCGATCTTTCCAACTCGCTCCCAGATTCTTCTCCTTCTGCATGTTCTCCATCGATCTCTTCTGTTTCTCCTCCAGCTTGCTCTGGTTCACCTTCAAAGGCTTCTGGAAGAGTGTCACGTCTCTCTTCCCTGACGTTCTCAGGCCTGAAGGGCGCTTGAAGGGGGCTTGAAGGGGGCTTGAAGGGGGCTTGAAGGGGGCTTCAAGGTGAAGGGGGCTCGGCTTGAAGGGGAGGGGGCTTGAGATGGAACACGCTGGGTTGGAGTTCACCTGAGCGACAAGTACCAGGATCCCCACTTCATGTCTGGCATTGACTACACGGTGGAGTGGCTGAGAACGACTCTGGTCAAAAAGGATGGCATCTGGGTGATGGTGGAATACTGCGAAAGAGTTTCAGAAATGGTTGAGCCCAACAGGTTCATCGAGGAGACACCTGGGAAAACAACAGTGGTCACATTCTTGACCGATGGTTTTGAAGATGTCGAAGCTATGGGCTTTGGTGTCGAAGGAGTGAAGAACGAGCTATATGCTGGAAGCTCTTGAAGGAGAAATCCAGCCAATGCTCGACATCCCCGAGGATGTGCAGTTGGAACAACAGGAGCTGGAGCTACCTCCTGAAGTTCCAGCAGGTGATGGAGAAGTTCAAGGAGTTGGAGATGCAGAACAACTTCAACTACAAGTTCCACAAGAAGGAGAAATCCTGGTTGGAGAAGTGCTGCCACATCAGACCGAGGTTGATGGCAATGTGCTGACTGTAGCTAGCAGTTTGGCAACTTTGAGGGCAGCATGTGGCTTCTATGGTGTGAGCCGATCAGGTAGCAAAGCGAAATGCTACAGGAGGTTGTGTCAGCATCAGAAGACACTTGAGCTGCTGTCTGCACAGGCAGCAATTGCCCAGACTCAAGGAGTTGTTGAGAGGCATCCCAATGCTCAAACTTTGGTGAAGCCTCCAGACCCGAAACAACAGGAGTTGCACGAGCTGACCCATACTCCTTACGAGCCCTGGTGCGCAGCATGTTTGAAACATCGAGCACGACCTGATCCACATCGACGAACTGGAGAAGCTCACAACACAAGCATCCCCATCATCTCTATGGACTTCTATGTGACGAAGAAGAAGGATGGCTTGGACCCACAACCAGAGGGAGCACCTGACGACAAAGGAGCTCTTTGGCTGGTGTTGACATGTAGCCAGACTGGCTATCTTGGAGTGGTTCCAATCCAAGGCAAAGGTCAGATTAACTACATGACCCACGAAGTGCTGAGCTTTGTGCAGAGCCTTGGGTGTGCTGAAGTTGGTTTCTACGGCGACAATGAGCCGACCATCAGACAAATCTTGAAAACTATCATCACTTCGAGGCATGCGCTTGGATTGAAGACCCGAATCTTCACTACCAAGGTGAAAGATTCAGCTGGGAACTCATTGGCTGAGAACAGCATCCAGCGCATCAGGCAGCTTGCTTGTACTTTGGTGGAGGATGTGGCTCAGAAAACAGGCCTGAGTTACCCTTGTGAACACCCACTATGGTCTTGGGCTGGTAGATATGCAGCTTGGTGCCTCAACCGTTACCAAGTTGGCAGATCCCTCACAGCCTACGAGGTGACTCAAGGCAAAAAATATTATGGAAAAGTTGCACGATTTGGTGAACCGGTCTATGGATATTGCAACAGCCGTGGCAAGGCTGATGCAAAGTGGAAAGTTGATTTGTTCCTGGGCAAAACCGAGAACCAGGATGCATGGATCATTGGAGATGGAGTTGATGTCATGCTGAGTCGCAGCATTCGAAGGGTAGATCGCCCTTGGACCAACTTCCTTGCCTACTATAGTGGCTTGCAAACCCACAGCTTCGTGTACCAGACCAGCTTTGGTGGCAGAATCGTTCCGACGAAGCGCAAGATCATCCCGCAGAAACAAGATGGCCGATTGCTTCCCAAACTGAGCGAGGTAGAGAGACGCTTTGCTGACGAAGAGGCCGATGCAGTTTTGGCCTATGCTCGTTCCAGACAGGGACGATTGGAAGCTCAACAAGAAGTTCAACAAGCACTTGCAGAACTTCCTGATCAAGCACCCCCAGGATCGGGAGTCATTGTGGAGGAGATTGCAGTAGCTCCACAACATGGACAAGAACTACCAACAACATCTTCAGACATCCCAGCCAGCGAATGCAGATATTTTGGCAAGACCTTCTTCACCACGAGCGTCTTCAGCAAGACCAACAGAAGTTGGAGTTGCAGCATCAACTGAGGAGGAGCCTTCAGCAAAAAGGATGAAGCCAAGTGAAAGCTCTTTGAGAAGAATCGAGATGGTCGAGAGGCGATTGGTGGAGGTGAAGGTTGCCAATGAGACTTACTACCACTTGGACAATGTCATCGATGTTGACTTTGTGAACGCTTGGGAGTCTGAAGATGTGGAGATGATTGAAGAGAAGGCCAAGGATGTAAATGACATCGAAGCTTTCTGGTCTGACGATCCATTGACGAGATCACCGCCTGAGCCACTACCTGAGGTAGATCGCCTGGCTGATGAGATCGAAGTCAACAGATTGCAGGAGATGGGTGTCATCGAGAAGCTTGCCCTGAAGGACTACGAGTTGGAACTTCTTACAACTCGAATGGTCTATGACTGGCGCATCAAGGATTGGAAAGATCCCAAAACAGGTTCAATTCGGAGAAGGTGGATGCGCAGGGCAAGACTGGTTGCACGTGAATATGCAAACCACCGACGAGATGATGTGCACTCTCCAGCATCTGGCAGTCAAGTGTTGAGGCTGTTACCAGCCATCTACCTGATGCTCACTGCGGTGGACGGCATTGACCAGGAGGAGATCCAGATTGGTTCTTTGGACATCAAGGACGCTTTCTTGATGGCTGATCAAGAAGAACCTCTACAGATCACTACAAAGGTTGGAAAATTCAAGGTGAAGAAGAGCCTCCCTGGTCAAAGAAAGGCAGCGAGATCGTGGTATGAGTTCATTGCCAACTACTTGGAAAAGAAGGGCGTGACTTTCTGCCCTGAGAACCCATGTCTTGGACGACGAGGAGGTGGACTTTTTCTACTTCTACATGTGGATGACATGATGCTTTGTGGAATGAAGTCGGAAGTGGAGAAGCTTATCCAGGAGTTGAAATCCGAGCTCAACATCTCCTACAAGATTGCCAGCATGAAGGAGATCAGTTCGAGTTCCTGAAGAGAATGTACGTGCTGAGAGAGGATGGGATTGACATCCTACCAGGAGGATATGCTGAGACCATGATCGAGGCCTTTGAGAAACGCTATGGTCCGGTGAAACTTCAACAAGTTCCTTGCGGAGATGACGCACAGGAAATCTCAACGTCTGGACCATTGTTAATGGAAGAGGCCAAGTTGTATCGATCACTGGTTGGATCTGGCATTTACCTGTCCCAAGAGCGCATTGAGATTGGGTTCATCATCAAGCAGCTGGCAAGTGGTATGAGCAATCCATCGAGAGGTCATTTGCAGGTGATGAGAAAGATAATCGGGTACCTGAAGAACACCCGTGGTCACTACAACCGCCTGAAAGCTCCCAGTCATGGACAAGGAGTTCATCACCACTATGATTCGAAATGGATCTTGGAGACCTTCACCGACTCAGATTGGTCGGGAGATCGAAAAACAAGGAGAAGCACGAGCAGTGCAGTTCATTGCTTGAATGGCATCGTGGTCTACCACAGCAGCAGAGGACAGCGTGTGGTGAGCCTTTCAAGTGCCGAAGCTGAGCTTCATGGACTTGTTGGAGGAGCAGCTGATGGCATTGCGCTGAGGATCTACTTGCAGTTTCTGTTGGATGAGGAGGAGATTCAACATGTGTGCCTCATCGACAATTCAGCGACCAAGCAGATCTCCAACAAACGTGGCACAGGGAAGCTGAGACATGTTTCAGGAAAACTACTTTGGATCCGGGACCAAGTCAGCATGAAGGTCTTGGAGGTGAAGCAGATCAGCACTTTGCTGAACATCGGAGACATTGGCACGAAACCATTAGGCAAAGGACGTCTCTATGCTCTCATGTGCTGATGCAATGTCTGTACAAAAGAAGGAGTTCCAGTTGGAGAAGAAGCTGCAAAAGCCAAAGAGACCCACTACAATAAGACGAGCGTGATGAGGATTACAAAACTGCTTCAACGAGTGGTTTTGATTGGTGGCCTTGAGCAGGCTAGCGGTGAGTTGGTCCCATTTCGCATGGATCTCGAGACTGTGGAGGTCTACAAGGAGCGAAGTTGGACATTCATCTACATCACTGTCATGCTTATCTTCTTTGTGGTAATTGCAGTTTTCTACTACTTGCACAAGATCATTAGAGATCTATGTGGACAGCTTGCACACCCTCGAGCAGAGCTTCGAGAACAACAAGGTCTTCAGGAAAACGAGATACACATGCATCACATGCACATCACTGCGATGAATGTGGCAATCATTCGCATGGGTGGCTATGTGAACATCAATGATCCCATCACAGAGCAGGATTGGGACAACTGGCACTATGTGGAGCGCAACAACAAGACTCATGACTTCAGAAAGTGTCGTCGTGATCTTGAGGAGTTGCGCAAGTATGTGCACAGGAGGAGGAGACAAAACACTCCACGACATGGCTCAAGGTCTCGAGATGATGACGAGACTGAGGAGCCACCACAACGACCTGAAGAACTTGGAGAAGAAGAATCTTCAGCCCCCCTTCAAGCCCCCTTCAAGCCCCCTTTCGTGCCCCCTTCAAGCCCCCTTCAAGCCGCCTTCACCTTGAAGCCCCCTTGAAGCCCCCTTGAAGCCTCCTTGAAGCAAGCCCCCTTGAAGCCCCCTTGAAGGTCTCGACCTTCAAGCCCCTTCAAACCCCCTTCGTGCCGCCTTCAAGCCCCCTTCAAGCCCCCTCAAGCCCCCTTCAGCCCCCCTTCAAGCCCCCTTCGTGCTTTCTGAAGCCTTCACGAAGGTCAGGCCCCTTGAAGCCCCCTTGAAGCCCCCCGTCAAGCCCCCCTTCAAGCCTTCTGAAGGTGAAGGGTACTGTCAAATTTAGTCTTCGGATCCTTCCTGGATAAAGATAGCCTCTGGGATAGCACAACTCGATTTTTGCTACAGTACAGTCCATGAAGGCTCCAGCATGAGTTTCAGCATAAATCGAGTTCCTGCCATTACCATCACTGGCAGGGGCTGCCACTTGAGTCTCTGCAGATACAGTGGACACTGAAGCGTCTCTGGAACCAGGCGGAAATTGGCTGCAGTGTTGCCACGGGTCGACATCGTTACAACCATGATGGCAAGAACTGTTGTGAAGGATCGTTCCAGCAGCACTTCTCTTGTTTTCGAATTGAGAATGACGGGCGTTTTTGGCGTGCCTCTAGCGACCACAGCGGAGAAGACGCCATTAGCTGTCAAGCAATGAATCCACAATTTGGGCAACGATCGGATCTATGCGGCAGATCAAACCAAGTGAACGCGACAGAAGAGGGGAGTGAATGCCAGAATGGAGAAGTCCTTAGTCAGTCCAAGTGTACCAACACATCCCATCTGCGGACACGAAGGTAAACTTGGGCTAAAGTAGCAATGCGAAGGGCCTCAGAGCAGGCAGGACAACAAGAGGGAGAGCAACACAGAAGAACAACAGACCCAGCACCAGACGAGGAGACAAACAAAAACAGAAGCGACAGAGGAGGAGCGCCCAGGACAGGCAGAGGGGGACAGACAGGGAGATTAGCAGAGTGCGCCGACGCCAAGCAGCATGGTGTAGAGGGCGGTGCCCCACACAGGGCCGAAGCCTTTGTTGCCATAGAGTACGAAGACGCAGGGAAGAAGGGAAATCTCCATCTCCAGACTAGTCAGCAACAGACAAGAGGTCAAGCAGACCGACCAGACGCCCAGACCGTTGCCAAAGCAACCAGATATCCAAACGGAGACACCCGAGGGAAGGCGCTCAGAACCACTGATCAGCACCACCAAGCGCCAAGGGTGGGGGGGCCAGAGGGGAGGACAGCCGCAGGAGAGCACCAAACAAAACCAAAAACCAAGGACAAACAACAGGACCAGCCAAAGAAGCAAACCCACCAACAAAGGGGGGCAAGGGCAAGCCCACCCGTCCACGAGGCGACCAAACAGACAAGAGACGCAACAACGACAAAACAAAAAACCACAGAGACCAACCACAAAAGCAAAGGGAAAGGACATTGCCACGATAACAGACCAAGGGAGAGCCTTGTACCTACAATCTTCATCTTTCTGTTCTGTTGTCTCATGTTTCCAATCGAGGTTTTTTTTCCGTCCAAAGCCCAACGCCATGTGGCTCTCGCCAGGTCGTTAATCAAGCCGGAAAGCTAATGCAGATTGGTAAATTCAGCGAATTAATGCAATGGCAACATTCTCATGTGACAATGTGCACCAAAAGCAGAACTACAGAGGAGGCCCGCACATGCGAAGCCTGATTTCAATTGATTTTCCGGCCCCAAAAATGGAACCTGAAAGGGCACATGCGGTATCAGCTGTCTCCGTTCACTGGCTCCAATGTGGCGATTGCGATGCAGCACGACCCAGGCGACATACAACACCCGGATAAAAGTTTTTCCTCTTGACTAGCTACAGCAACCCTCTCCCCTTAGACTCCTGACAGGTCTCATATGAATCACATGGCGGATCGCGGATCAGCTGCTTTGCTTTAAACGAATTTTGCTTTATTCCGACTTGAAATACGATCCGCCACGCAGGCCACGCGAAATGAGGATAATTGATCCGGAGCTGAAGATCATGATGCTTATAAGACGCTGAACGGGAAAAAACTTTCCTCCTCCTGATGTAAACACCAATCCTTCCGCGCTACTCCGCGCTGCTCCGCTACTCCGTGCTATGTTTTAATTCAATTACTCAATGTAATTGACACGATATCGAAACGATAACGGAATAAGAAAGCCTTCAATACTTCACCTTCCCACATCTTTCCCTAAGCAGATTCTTACTCCATCCCGTTTTTCATTTATACTATTAAGTCTTTAGAAGTTTTCAGAAGCGTCAACTTCCAAGTGTTGGAAAAAGGTTCTTTTACAAAATATATTTAAAAAGGAATAGCGTAATAATAAGTACGCATTGAATTATATACATGTACTATATGTATATATAAAAAAGACTATAGAGCTTCTTATAATTCATAATGATTTTCCGACTTGACCAATTCTCTTTGATATATGGTTTCCTTTTTGCGCATTCTTTAATTGAGTGGTCGGGGGTCATGGAAAGCTCTTGTTGAGCCTCTGTTTTCGAAAAAACGGACACACCAACGTTTTTTGCATCGTTGCCGACTGAGGTTGTCGGTTGCTTGCAAGGCATAGCATGACCCGTTCATTCCCCCCCTGTTGCGTGGGTGGGAAAAAATTTGGGTGGGTCACGCAGCATGGGGCTAGAAAAAATTTCTAAACCCTCCAACCCGCCCAGCCAGAGCTGCACGGAATGAAATAGAAAAATGTCCAAGATTAAAACAGGGTCTCAAACATGCATTTGTTTGTTCAGGTTCTTTTAGGACACAAGATTATGTGTTGTTTATTTTAGCATCATATGGATGTTAAAAATATAGATTCCAGAATTTAACAAGACACCGTCTACGACTGAAGGAGACATTCTGAGTAACCTGTATGAAGATTGACATGTTTCTCTTTGGAGATTCAAGAGCAGGTCAATCAAAGGTATAAAGATTGTTTCCAAAACGGAGTTCAACAGTTTGTTTGTTGACACCAGGAAGAACGTCAGTGTGAGGTTCTGATTTTCGCTTCCGTGCCTAGGGTGGCACTGTGAAAACAATTAAAGACAGTTTTATCCCTTGCAGGGAGATGCACCGTCTTTAGAAGTTTTCAGAAGCGTCAACTTCCAAGTGTTGGAAAAAGGTTCTTTTACAAAATATATTAAAAAAGGAATAGCGTAATAATAAGTACGCATTGAATTATATACATGTACTATATGTATATATAAAAAAGACTATAGAGCTTCTTATAATTCATAATGATTTTCCGACTTGACCAATTCTCTTTGATATATGGTTTCCTTTTTGCGCATTCTTTAATTGAGTGGTCGGGGGTCATGGAAAGCTCTTGTTGAGCCTCTGTTTTCGAAAAACGGACACGCCAACGTTTTTTGCATCGTTGCCGACTGAGGTTGTCGGTTGCTTGCAAGGCATAGCATGACCCGTTCATTCCCCCGTGAAGTCGTCATGCTGTTGCATCTCGAGAGGAATGCTGTTTGCATGCTGAATGCCATTCTTAAGGAGAGTCGGCATTTGTTTGAAGTCTCTACATAAGTTAGCAACCGTTTCAACATCAACAGCTTCATTCCAAGCAGTACCACTGATCATTCTGAGGGCAAGTTCCGTCTGGCCTCTGCTTGGAAGGTCGGCTATATTTGAGGTTGAAGGCACTCTTTCTATCCACTGCAGGCATTGGTCCTCCTCGGAGCAGGAGTGGAAGAGCTGCACAATCTGCAGCAGCGCAAGCGTTGGGCTCACTCCCTTTATCAAGGAATACCTGGCACCCTCATTGTCCACGAAAAACAGGGCTCGGCGTTTAGTCAAGGTTTCCCGGAAGACAACCCGTGCAAGGAGGACTGCAAAAGCTTCAGCTAAGGTGATCACCTGGTCACTCCCGAGGTTGTGCCATGCCTCTACTAGGGAAGAGGGTATGTTACCCCCAAGTGCAGTCCTTAAGTTGGTTACCTGGTCTAACACTACAATTCCCCATGTGGCAACACCATTTTCGTAGGCGGCATCTGTGAACACTAACACTGGTTCCACTATCCCTTCAGGGTCCAAGGTTTTTGGCTTCAACGTTCCCACCATGGCATGGGTCCAAGCACACAGCTGCTTAATCTGCTCTGGAGATGCCTTATGACCTTCGGTGGTCAAATGGGCAAACGCACGGGCTGAAACCAAAAGTGACCTCCCTAGGAAGAAACTAAGAGCAAAATTCAGGTTTCCATGTACAACTTGTGCTTGCCTTTTGTCGACTCGTTCAAGCGCAGCAGTGTCTTCCAGGAGCTTCTGAATTTTCTCAACTCGGCTCGGTTTGTTCTGCATCACGAAGGGACCTCCATGCAAAGCAGCTATGCTCAGGCGTATACCCAGGACGTCAAACTCAGTCTCGAAAGGATGAGTCTTATTTGGGTCATCCGAAAATTTCCACCCCAGGGCTTTCAGCAGGCCTTCAAAGGACTTGGTAGCCAAGGCACACAGGGGTTGCGGCTCCAACAGAGGAAAATCGTCAAAGAAGACCCCGCCAAGGAGTTTGCAGAACACGCTTCCTATGTGCCAGAGGCTCCTGGAAACTCGGTTGAATCCAAAAACGCTGGAACTGGCTCCGAAGGGAAGGCTGTTGCTGACGAAGTACACTGGCCTGCCTGTGCCGTAATGGTGAACCATCAAAACAGCAAAAGGTCTGGACTCAAGGCTGACCGGGATTTGCTTGTAGGCTTTCGACAAATCTACACATCTACCTCGCCATTCCACTTCGCCATGGAAATCCGGGTGCAACTTTCCCACCATCCATTCACCTGTCTTCAGCGGCACCTTCACCAGACGGCCAGGGTCGTCCATTGCCTACACTTTACGCAGTGTTGGTAGAGTGGCTGAGGTCTCCAGAAATCGTGCCAGAAAAATCGCAACGTCGTTTCGATCAATCGCCAGAAATAAAACCACTGTAAACCAAAACATGCCAGAACGTACAAGTTGAGAAAACATGATCAAGAACAAAACATCAACCGAAGCTGCACAACGTGACATCACTGAAAATTGCAAACATGTCTGATTTCAGCAGCACCACTTTTGACATCGGTGGTAAGGTCTTGCGCCATTCAGCGGTCATCCATACCAGCTGTAATCAACTGCTGTGCCTTGCCAGTTCCACGCCAACGCAGTTGTACGAAAAGGCCAAGTGGCCAGAACAAGGAGTCATTTCACTTCAGAAATATTGGAATTCCTGTGACATCTCAACAGCCCCCGCTGAACGCAAGCAGGATTGATTGTATCATCCCCAAAAGCGGTGGGATGGGTGGGACTTTCCAAATAGTCCTTTTCCAGCCAGTGCTCGACAATCATAAAATTCAAATGAGATCCAGCTGAAAGAGCACCACATCAAAGAATTGGAAAAGACAGCAACTGAAGATATCACTGAAATCGGCATTTGTCCGAAAAACCAACATTGAAGCATCACTGTCAGAAAGCACAATTGAATGACTGAAAATGCAGCAAGTGAAAACTGAAGCCAAATGAAAAACCTGAAAGCAACGTTCACTGAAAACTGAAATCGTCACACCAGTGAGCAAACTGAAACAGCAAGGAATTGTTTCAAGACTGACATCAATTGTTGTAGACCCTTGCGCTACGCCAGGAATGCACAGTACCAAGAAGGCCAGAAAGCGAGAGACCCCAAATCAAGAAATGCGCTGCACCAAGCAGCCACCAACAACCCCACCACCACCCGACCAACACTGGGTTCCGTATAGACACATGGGGCGCGCCCAATGATGCCTACACTTTACGCAGTGTTGGTAGAGTGGCTGAGGTCTCCAGAAATCGTGCCAGAAAAATCGCAACGTCGTTTCGATCAATCGCCAGAAATAAAACCACTGTAAACCAAAACATGCCAGAACGTACAAGTTGAGAAAACATGATCAAGAACAAAACATCAACCGAAGCTGCACAACGTGACATCACTGAAAATTGCAAACATGTCTGATTTCAGCAGCACCACTTTTGACATCGGTGGTAAGGTCTTGCGCCATTCAGCGGTCATCCATACCAGCTGTAATCAACTGCTGTGCCTTGCCAGTTCCACGCCAACGCAGTTGTACGAAAAGGCCAAGTGGCCAGAACAAGGAGTCATCTCACTTCAGAAATATTGGAATTCCTGTGACATCTCAACAGCCCCTCCTTTAGAAGATGTCAAAGGAACAGAGGGACCGAAACGAAAAAAATTTTTACCAAGGTGTCTTGTCGAACTTCTTGCTCTTCGATCCCCAGTCGAACTTGCTGTCTCTCTTTGCAGCAAGCTTCGCATCTTCAAACTCCAGGTGTGTGGCCACCAGCGCACGGAGGATCGGCAACTCCATGTCTCGCAATGACATAGCAATTCTCAAACCAGGCTCAAACGAATCAAATTTCTCATTTGTCAAATCATCAGCTTCTGTATTCTCTTCTCTGGGTCTCCAACGTAAACTGAGAGCAGCACGAGCCCTTGACAGCCTGGAAGAGAGCTGCATGTTAATGGCCATCAGGGGCCAGCGTGTTGTGGCCCTTTTTTCAGACAAGGCTTCGTTGGCCCTGTTATCAGTCCCAGCTGTCAAAGCCACCTGAAGGTCCTTGCGGTGTCTTTCCTCCTTCTTCCATCCAAAAGCTTCCAGTGCCGCAAGTGTTGCTAACAGTTCCGATGACGTGGATGACCACTGCGAGTCACCGTTCTCCTTGAAAAGGTAAGGAGCATCGCTCGGCAAGACCCTGAAGGAAAACCACCTTCTGGAACAAATCTCCCAGCCAGCCAGAACAACAAATCCCGTGGCACATTTGGCGTCAGTTCTGAATTGGTCACCCTCAAATTTCCTCGGGATGTCCGTTGACACCATGAAGGTCTCATCCCGTAACTCCAGTAAAATGTAACGCAAGGTGAGGATGACCGTCTCGGGCAACCGCCCCACTGTACTTCGCGACATCACTGACGCCCAGGCAAAAAGGGGTGAAAGATGAGGTTTAAGCCACACCAACAACTGAGCCACCAAACTCAAACGTCCAAGGAACTCCACAAACTCCCTGGCTGCCACTACAAACTTTTGATCTGCCAGCTTCTCAATCCAAGATACCAGCCAGTTGCCCCTCTTTTCAGAAATGCCCACTTCAGCAATATCGTATTTCAAATGGAAACCAACAAACTCTGAAGAGAGGCCCCCCTTAAACTTGTGGTAACCAAAGGGTGTACCAATCAGTTCAAATGCCAGCAACCACACCCATAAAAATTTGAACTTGTCATGGCCCACAAACGCACCATGTAAATCGTCAACGTAAATCATTTGCATCATCCAACGGGTGTGGAAGACGTACCCAACAAACCTTCCAATCATTGCTGCAAGCTTGGCCCACCAGTAAGGTGCGCTAGATACACCAAAGGTCCCAGTCTTGTTAACCCAAACTGTATCTGAAGTCGAGTCTGCTTTGCAGCACAAATATCCCCAATCCTGCCTCCGCACCTTGACCAGTCTATGGGCAGCCTTGATGTCTGCACTGACACAGAAGCAAGCCTCACCTGTGGAAGAAGTCTCCCTGACAATCGCTGCTATCTCAGGGGGACCAGGGCATAGTATTTTGTCTCTATACTTGATCTCATGGTTGACTTTGACCGAGTGCGTGGCATCGTGCAAGGGCCGCACTGAACCATCAGGCTTTGTGATCGCCGCCATGGCCGCGATCCTGAGGCGGTCACCAAACTCCTGCTTCAGGACACCGACCTTTGATGGGAACATCCTACCCAGCTGCTCCTCCTCTCTAAACTTCTTTTCCAACTCTTCAGATGACAGTTGTGCCGACGGGTAGTTGTCAGCGATGGGACAAAACTCTGTCTCATCTAATTTCCGATGTTTGGTCTTCAAAGGGAAGACCTGCGGTGAACGAGGAAGCGGCTTGTCCACCCCAATGCATACACCGCTCGCAAAGGAGTCAGTCTCATCAACAAGCCATTGAGCATCGGGATCTCGGAAGGACTTCAAAAACTGAGACAAGGCACGGAGAAGGAAGGGTTGGCCCTCGTCTATCTTCAAGGCGTCCACTGGATCTGGCAGTAGTGCCGCCCACTTGGTTCGGAGCTCAAGCAAAACGGATTCTCCAAATGGTGACTGCTGTATCTTCCCAGTAACCAGCCTGAATGCCTCTTTCCTCACATCTGGAATACACTTGTCTACACATGCCGCCAGCAAATCAAATGTCTCATCGGCCAACTTGACCATCTGATGCGTTCTCCTCTCACCCCTCTGCGCTGGACGCCAACGCGAAGGGCTGCACAAGCCAAAGCCATCCACAAATCCTCTGGATACCCGATCCCACTCAACTTGAATTGGCTTGCCAGCATTGCCACATGCCTGCAAATCAAAGTCCTCGTCGACCTCAAGTGAGTCAGGTGTCACACCACTATTCACCTGAGCAACTCCAGAAGCCTCAGTAACCTGACCAGAACAGCCAGCAGTACTACTGCTGGGTTTGACTGCTTCCGTAGCACCGCTGCTGCTACTTTCACCGTTGTTGTTGCAGCCCCGTAATCTTACAGTGTCGCTGCAACTAGGTGTTGAAACTGAACCCGCTTGAACTGTTGTATTTGCTGCCATTGTAAATGTTGACAATGCTCCCAACGTTTCTGTACGTCGCTTCTTCATCGCAGGTCCCTGTGACCCTGATGTTGGCCTCTTGCGGGATGGTCCAGATGAATTCTCCTGACCCCCTCCGCAGGATGCAAATGCATTGAGAATACACTGGGCCAAAAATTTGCACATACCTGGAGGGTAAGCTGCACTCGGACTGGTATTCCACTTTGTACCAGTCTTCCCAATCAATTTGTGGGTATGATGGTGCCCACACTTTTTGGGCAAAGGGCCCTTGTAAAAACCAAGTTTGTCAAACTTCGGCAAAGAAAAATGGCATCTGTTGTCATCCACATGTAAATTTGTAAGCAGACGCGTGGGTTTGGGCGTCAAGGCCCCAAACTGGCACTGATGTATTGCAAAACAAACTGCAGAAAATCTCGGGATTAAGTCCAGTACCTCGTGCCATTGCCATATTGACCCAGGCTGCTCACCCTGGACCGTGCCCAGATCTTCTGGGTGCTCAAGGACAAAGAAACCATTTGCTGATGCAGCGCATTCACAAGCTTCCAGACATTTTTCCACGAAAAAATTTGCTTCAGCAACAATCAATTGGTTTGCATTGGAAAGCCAAGGAAAACCCTTGGGCCATGACTTCGTCCGCAGTGGTTTCGGACCTGGGTGCAGTAAATGTTGGAACCTGGCACGAGAAAAAGTGTTGCAAGGAGGAGAAACAATGACGCACCATCCACCCTCTTTCAGGGTATCCACTATTTCGTCCCATAATGAAACATCTGTGAGGTCGTGCATCGGAGACCGCTCAATGTCAAATTCTTTGAGAACCAACTTGATCTTTCCATCGGACTCAGCTTGTCTTAGAAAAGCTGCCACGTCAGAATGGCGTCTCCGCCCAGCAAACAAATAAAGTACTTTCACAACAGGCAATGTTGGAGCATGTTGTGACTCGGGTTCCAACGACGGTGCAGCCATGCTGGGGGTCGCCGCACCTACGGGCTGTCAAGCGCCCTGTTTCTGCTTATGCTCCACCGCCTTATGATCCGAGTAACAACCTTTCACTCTGCACTGATGAACTCTGCCACAACTGCCATCGCATTCACCTGTGTTCCATGCAAAACACAACTCACGCCCGTCCGGCGTCCTCCATGCAAGATTGAGCCCTTTCAAACGTCCATCTGAAACTCCAGTCTGCTTGGACTTCTGCTTTCCTTTGCCTTTGCCCTTTTGAGTACCAAAGGAAGTCTTGCCACCAAAAGAACCCTTTGAGTTGAAACGCTGATATTTGGAAGGATTCCCATGACTGTCGCTGCTAGCAGATTTCAACGCTACAGGAGTTGTGAAATAAGCTTCTTTCAAATCTGCATCCTTGATCACTGAGGCCATGGCGTCAGCCAACGTGTGCCCTTCCAAAACGCGTCTCATGGCTTCTTTTCGAAGCTTCTGCTCATATGATAAAACGATGGCCCAATCGGGTTTGATTCTCTGAAGATTGCCCTCGCCCGTTGGGATCTGGATTCCAAATACCCTATCCCCCAAGATGTACTCAACAAATCTCAGAAAAGGGTCTGCAGTCAATCCATGTAACCAATGTTTCGCCTTGTACCTTGAAGCCATTGCAAGCCAAGCGTACATCTCCACCTTCATCACCTTCCGATATTCCTCTGTCGAGGCAGGCATCTTCGCCTTGGTTTTGGTCCTCGTGACCCTAATGTGGCCTGAACCATCAACAGTTGATTGAATGGAAGAACTCGAAGCTGCAAGTTTACTCAAAATCTCATCCAATGGTGATGCAGTGGGTTCGTTTGCCTCTGTCTCCTCAGCCTTCAAACTCAAATAATCTGGTGCAGGAGACTCTGAATCTCCTAGAGTCCCGTGGACCGCCTCAATGGCCCGCAGCATCGCCTGACGCTCATGGATCTGAAGGACCCGTGGTTGCCCCAAAACCTTCGCTTCAGCTTTGAGTTCAATTTCTTTTGCAAGGTATTCTTTTGATGTCTCCCATGATGAAACAATTGCAGCAATCTGTGACCTGTTCTCCGGCGTGTCTGCCGGCAGTGCAAAGTCATGGAGGCATGCAGTCCTGACAGCTGCCCGATCGTCGCCCACTGCAGAAAATTTCCTGAGTGATCCATAGTGCCTGGCAATCGAGACTTGATGCGTCAATGCAACACCAGAATCGCCTAGTATAAACTGAAGGTCAGCATCCATATGTGACTGCACAAACTCTCTCTGCGCTGCAGGTTCCATTGCGTCAAGGTCAAACCCTCAAGCAGTGGACAAGTGAGAAAATGAAACAACCCAAGTTTCAAAACGAAACAAGTGACAATGCACAATCAGTCAGTGTTGAACCTGCGGACAACCTGACATGACAAGATGCGCAACTGCAAGCAACATCGACAGTGACAAGATTCCACAAAATACACCAGATCTGAAACATCAAGAAACACCTGCAAAACACTTGCGATTGAGTAAAATAAAAATGATGCTGTTCTGCAATCAAATCAATGCATTGATGGCACCCTTGGGTCTGAGCCATCGAGCGACAACAGAACTCTCTGTGAAGCTCAACACCGTCGTCTAAACGTGTGGTGTGCCGACATGGAGTTGCAATGCGTCTGAACGCAAAATCTGATGCAAATCAAATGGACAACCGAAGGAAAGCAGCACCCCACAGAGGCACTCACTTTTATTCCACACGGAAGAAACAAATCCATGTCAGCCCATCGGATCATCGCCTTCGTCTCCTGCAGAGACCGTCGTCGAGGATGAAGCTGTCGAAGATGACAATTCTGCCATCTCCTTTCCACTCTCTGCCAACATGCGCCTGCGGCACGCCTGGCAAATTGCATCAAAGTCCTCCTCCTTGACTTCGTCAAGGTAGATGACCTCACAGCACCTGTCAGGCTTCACAAAGCAGCCTGTCAAGTGGAGCCTCCTCAGGCCGACCCTCCTTGAAACTGTCACAAAGTACTTTGCTGCAGGCGGTTTCTCCAAGGACTGCTTCAGAGCATGTTCCGCCACTTTCTCCAACAATGCATCGGGTGAATCCCCTTGTGCATCAGGGTCCCAGTCGTCTGGGAGCACTTCCAGGGTCGGGCACACACCACCCAGGGAAACCTTCCCAAGCCATGCGGTGAGGACAGTATGCCTCTTCTTGATCCTGTTTGGATTGGCACCTGCAGCTGCTGCAAACTCGGCCAACTTGTCGATGGTCTCATCCTCGTGGAAAGATTCTTCAGCTCCTTCCACCAGGGCCTTGTTGACGGTCTTCTGGATCTTGAAAACAACCTGACGTGATGTTCTCACGTACTCTTCCGATGCAACCATCCCCATGCTCCAGCGCCCAAGATAGGCCCGCTCGTCTCTCTGGAACCCAAGGGCCGCAGCAACAGACGTCAGGTAATTCCTCGGGCTGTGGCCACTGAAGAATGCTTCCAACCCATCTGGCAACAAGTGAGCTGCAGGCATCAGCTCCCAACCCAATCCAGTCCTTCTGGGACAAGAAATGGAGCCAAGCAGCTTGGCGATGGCTGCACTGAGAGCCGACGGCGGGAGGAATCTGCGCCTCACACCAGTCCATGCCTTGTTGGGCTCCATGACCAGGTAGTCGCGCCTGTAATTGAAAGGTTTGGCACTCCACATGTCGTACCCAGCCTTGAGCCAATCCTCTCCAGTCAATGATGTCGTCCTGAAGATGTGGACGGAGACCTCCTTTTGAACCTTGTCAGGGCCCGTCGTCTTCGACTTCCCCAAAACCAAACGCAAACCAAAGTTGGAGAGGATTGATCGATGTGGTAAAACTGCTTGCACATCGTCACAGCGCATAGCGCCCCAAACCATGCAGAGCACCACCCATGCCAATGCCCTCACAAACAGCGGCTCTGCCTCACATGCCACTGTCAACTCCAAAGAAATGAGGATTGCAGTGGTGTACATCTCCGCCGGCTTCCTCGGAGGTGCATCTTCTGCCAACTCTGCACTCCAAGACTTCACATGCCCTTTCCAAAGGGGGTCATCAGAGATACGAGCCCCATCAGGGACTCTTCCGATCTGCTCGATCAGCGCCAGGGCGGTATGAAGCGCCTGCGGCACTGACCTCCCACAACCTTCGCTCACTCTGTGCTGCATGTAGTCAATGGCGTCCTTGACACCCCGAGGGAATTGATAGCCCCTGTGCCACTCAAGCCATTGCCTGAAAGGATGCCACACCTTGAACCTGTTCTTCAAAGTGTTGCCTCTCCGTGCAGCAAAAATGTGAAGCCACCCAGCCTGAGGGTCATCCAGCGTCTTCACAAGTGCCACGATGGGGAGGTCTGCCTGAACAATGACTTGTGCCAACAGCCGCGTGTACTTCTTCCTCTCTGCATCAAACCGTTTGGCCCGGGCGTCTGCAGGATCTTCTCGATAGTTCCTCTGTTTGCGTTTCGTATGCATCTCCAAAATGCAAATAGCACTTGTCCTCGTCAACCTTGTGAACTCCTCTTGAACGGAAGCCTGGTCTGGAAAAGGCAACCTGAACAGCACCTGTCTAGCAAGTTCAGAACGGTTTCGCTTGAAAGGCCGCTCCATTGAATCCCTCCAGTAAATCATCTGTGCCAGGGCGTCTAAGAGGTCCTCTTCGACCAAGTCAGGGAATTCGTCCCTCAGCATGATGGCGCACTCCTCCTCCGTGTCAAAGGCAGCGTCCAGCCTCAATGGAGTGACATAGACCCGCTGCAAGTGGGCTCTGATCCCGTCCTCCACTGGAGTCCACGACAACGCCATAGCATGCTACCTACCCTCCTAAAAGGTATGCGTCCAACCTGTGTTGGATTGCAACGCGCCCCAGCTACTTTCCAAATAGTCCTTTTCCAGCCAGTGCTCGACAATCATAAAATTCAAATGAGATCCAGCTGAAAGAGCACCACATCAAAGAATTGGAAAAGACAGCAACTGAAGATATGACTGAAATCGGCATTTGTCCGAAAAACCAACATTGAAGCATCACTGTCAGAAAGCACAATTGAATGACTGAAAATGCAGCAAGTGAAAACTGAAGCCAAATGAAAAACCTGAAAGCAACTTTCACTGAAAACTGAAATCGTCACACCAGTGAGCAAACTGAAACAGCAAGGAATTGTTTCAAGACTGACATCAATTGTTGTAGACCCTTGCGCTACGCCAGGAATGCACAGTACCAAGAAGGCCAGAAAGCGAGAGACCCCAAATCAAGAAATGCGCTGCACCAAGCAGCCACCAACAACCCCACCACCACCCGACCAACACTGGGTTCCGTATAGACACATGGGGCGCGCCCAATGATGCATGTCGAACCGTGGTTGTCACAAAGTGCGCAAGCGAAGCCACATAATCAACATCGTGTAAGGCCAGTGCATCGACAGCTGTGTACGCTTTGTTCACGCCAGACTCGCGCAGGTCATCAGTAATCCTTGGCTTCCCTGACTGGATTATGACAAAGCGGCGGCTGACCACTACCTGGTCCGATCCAACATACTCTCTGAGAGCTTGCATGGACTCAAAAGGGCCTTCCAGAAACCCTGATTCTACCTCTTGCAAAGTAGTGTCCCAAAGAAGGCGGGACATCTCGGGGTCATCAGCATGTACATTCCTGGCTTCCATCTTCGGTCTCTGCCACTTCGCTGACATCTGCAAAAACTGTGGGGTTGTTGTAGCTGGCACAAGCTTGGTGTCAAAGAAAGGCGACTTTGCGGCTGTTCCAACCAAGTCCAGTCCTGTCATGATATCGCTTGGCCCCAAATCAGGGCAGCCAGACTCTGCTAACAACTTTTGGAAGAGTAGCAGTTTCTTTCCTTTTAGCACTTTTTGGGCATGCTGGGGAAGAGTTGCCAGGTATCTAGCTTCCTCAGTCACAAGTTCTTTCGACCAGCATGCCAACTTCTTTGCAAAGTCTAAACGCTGGGCAGCAACATGGCTTCTACCCTTTGTGAGCAATTCGAAAAGGTTGGACCTGGTCAGGTCCTCTACTGCAAACTTGTCGTCGAAAGGATGAGTCAAGGCCACGGCCCTTTCTATGAATTGCTCCGGCGTATGGTAAATGCCATACTTGTTTCCCTCTTTTCCTTTTTGTTCCTCCCCGCTGTTACCCCCTGTTTGTGGAGGAAGGACTTTGAATTCACTAGGTGAATGTGGTTTTTGATTGGTAATGCAACGGTATTCAGGTATTAAGGTCTTTTGATGTTTATTTTGAGTGTGACCAAGAGTGGGTTTTTTCGGGGGCGAAAGGTTGAAACTTTTGGAGAATTTTTCATGGAGAGCTTGGCAAAGACGGCTGCACAGTAACCACGGGTACTCACTTTCGACTGCTGTGTCGAAGGTCCAGGTGCCAAAGGATTTGGTAACCTGTAGGGTTTATGCTCGTGGTCCCCCGGGCAAGGCTTGGCCAGGTGGTTGTAAACGTCGTGGGTGCTTCTCCATGTGGTCTGTTTTGGACGTTCTCCACCATGGGCACAGTTGCTAAACTGGACAGCAAACATGTTTAACCAGGCCTGCAAAAAACGCTCATCGTTCAGTTGTTGCACATACACAAAAAGAACATTCCACAGCCATGAGTTACTGGGATTTTCCAAGCTGAAAACACACGACAAGGTGACTGCCAGGACAAACAGGTCAATGGCAAATTTTGCAAGTTTGTTGGCACTTTCAACCCTCTTTTGTTCGTGGTATGTCAGCCCAGGCATGCCAAGAGGATGGGATGCATTTCGCAATGGCCGAGGCTGTGGTGCCCCTTTTGCTACTAGGTGAGCCGGCACAGGCCGCTCTCTGGCTCTGCTTCCTGTACCACATGGCAAGGCTACATGGATTGCTTGTGGCTTCAGCTGTCGCAAGGTGTCAAGAAGACATTGCTGCTCCTCCGTACGTACCAAGTCTAACGTCAAAACTGGACACTCAACCTTGTGTTCATTGCGCGGTCCATCAACTGGCAAAATTGCAAAACCGGATTGTTTGGCGGCACGGCTTAGCCGTCCACAACCTGCAAAAACTTCGCAAAAAAGCGCTCTGTTGGTGCTTGATTCTTCTGGAAAAATTGGTAACGTGTCATGCATGAGAGGCGGAGTCTTATGCTCGGACTTGGCTCGTTTCACTGGTGGCTGCTCCACATTGTCCCCAAAATGGGGAGCTGTTTGTCATGAGTGGTCGCACGTGGAAAAAGGCTTCGGTTTGAAGCACTGCCAGCACACATGGAATCCACGTTTGCACCTCTTCCCTGGCTTTGCGAAATCGCAGGC